TTTTTGTTCTTAGGACTTTGCCAGTGGTGAGAGCTGGATGCGATTTAGATATGTGAGTGGATATTTAGCTTGATACTATTTGACTTCCTATTATCTACTGCATAAGTGTAAACTAACATGGAGATGTCAACATATAGAAACGAAAGCCTGCAATCAAGTAAGCTTATTTAAGAATGGTTTAACAAACTGAAACCAGTCGTAACAGATAAATAACCTAGTAGTAATCAGACTAAAGTTATATTCTTTATCCCATATTCTTTTTTCAGCCCAGTAACTTTAGACTCGACAGTCTGACCCTTCTTCACTGGTATAAATCTGCTAATATACTCTATTCAATTTCGAAATATACCAATTCACATATTACCCAAAATAATTAACTAAACTATATTTACAAACATGATTTTCAAGCATACTTCCTAGTATTTCATGTGTCATCATTTTCTGTATATTCAATAATTTCCCAGATGTGTTATTTTGCATTATGAGTAATCATGCTATGAACATAACATTTGTTGAGGTTCCTGCGGATGATTTTCAATTCTTGCTGAGTTACACATTGCAAAAGAATTCGACATCTTTCACATCACTCTAAAACCGCAAGAAGATTTATTGAAGGTGTATCAAAGTCAAGTCGAGTGAAGTTTCTAGTCTATTGCATCAGGTTGTTGAAAAATTTCAGCTAGGCATTGCAACTTTGACGAAAATCTCTGACATGATTGATTTATGAGGAGACGCTCAAATCATCGATTTTTTAGGTATGTTAAATGCTAATTACCTACGAAGTGGATAGAATTCGATGATTTTTTTTATTTGAAAGCAGACACTTCGGGTTTGCTCTCATAACAAAATAATCAATTCATAAAATTTTCCTAATCTGTCTAATAATAAATGAGCAAATAATAATTATATACCACACCAACCGATTTCCATGATACCTTTGTGTGAATCCCGTATAACCGGTATATTTCTGTATAAGCAGCGACCATTTTATTGTATCCACCAACTTGTTTCAAATTCGTTTTTTATAAAATATTTCTATAAATTCAATACATGGCAGTGACACTATCGTAAAACTTAAACCAGTCCGTTTCATCTTTGATCAAGGCGTAATAATGACCAGATTCAGAACCACAGAGAACAATGACTGCATAAAGATTATAATAGTGGTCTACTAGATGGAAGTGTTCATCTATTTCAAACCTTCGTAAGAGTTTGGTGCTTCCGTCAGAGGTTGAGTCATGTTTGAAGATCATCAGTGTTATGATTAGATTGACTGGTACCTCAGCTATACTTGTTTTCTTATTATAGTCATTTAGTTTGGCGCATGTTTGGCAATACAGTTGATCATCACCTTTCAAAAGTTTCATTTTCAGATGATTTAACAATGAGCTGTGCACGGACTGGTTGTTAGTCATATTAGGAAACGCTAGTTGAAGTTCCAGAAATTCATATACGTTTTTGCTACCTCTTGAACATTTACTACGAAGAAAACAAGTGAGTATTTTTCCAGCAAAAGATTTACAAACACAAGACGAGATAGACTGTACGGAATCATTCAATCCAGAGCGGTCACGATTATTGATTTTGCTATTGTTTTGCTCACGAAGTGTATTCAACAAAAACTCCAAGAATTCGTAACAATCCTCTTGTTGTCCTAACCAGTATCTAGTAGACTTCAAAGGCTCCAGGAAATCGATTGGAGGGCAAGATGATATATTCTTACGAAACTGCAGCTGCATGAACAGGTGTTTGAGTTTGGTGAATAGGTGGGAAACATTCTCGTTCTCGTTCATCGATTAAACCTCGTTCTTGAAATTCTTCGTCATGAACAACACTTGTAAAATGCTATTCATGTAGCGAGTGTTTCCTAAATTATCTAATCTAATTTTCTTTTCAAGATTTTCAAGATAACTCTCTACTGTTTCGTATGGAAGAACATATTTCACAAAATCTGCATAAGAACCTTTTCTCAAGCTGCAATCGATCCATCCAAGTGATGAAGGGTTTCGTAGAGAGATTGATTCGGCTCTTGCTTCATAAAGCTTTTCCACTGAAAGGGAACCAGACCACGAGGACTGCAACTCATATTTGGGGGGGCAAGAATGACCGCAATGTCAAAAAGAAGAAGGTGGATCAATCACTTGCGAATTATCCTTGATAGGAGACTGATGAATATCCAGATATCTCGGCTTGTTTCGAAGAGATACTGAAATGAGGGCAATGCATGATCTCATCGAAATTATCGTTGAATAGCAATACTAATTTTTTCTATCAAAAAAGAGATAGAACGGTGATATTTCGTTGTCCTATTCTCCTTCCGAGTTCATGAACTATTAACAGAGACTCCGGGCCGTAAACACCAGAAGTTTTACCCGCTACTGGATGAAACAGATAATTGTTACCAAGATTCTGGTATTTTTGTCGTTTCAATTTTTCGCCACACAATGCTGCGGTTCCAGCAGACTTCGAACTTTCGGCTAGATGGGAAGCCGCGACCGTGTCAATGCAAGTAAAGTCCCATACCACAGGTTTACCATGGTATGAGATACATACCATCTGGTCGTTTATTGAAAACTTCCAATAACATCCGACCAACAAATGTGATTTTTAAAACACTAGATATCACACCATTTGTCACCTAATAGCCACAACATTATCTGATAAATTTGAAGTTTACGAGGAAGCCAACTGTTCAGCTTCTTTCTCTCTCCTAAAGATACTTTCACGGGAAATGTTCAAATGACCTGGCACATTTGATTCCACCGAGAGCGGTATATATCAGGAATACGCGACGGACTGTGGCTGCTCATTGTTTCGAGGTTCAACTTAGTACATCTCGAACTTCTCTGTTTAAGAACTCTTTCATTCAGAGAACGGTGTTTATGTGGAATAAACTTCCTGAGAACGTTTTTCCAAATGGATTTGATCTCTAGCGATTCAAATCCAATGTGAATCACTACCTTCGCACAGGCACCGCTCTTAGAGCGCCTTAAAGATTTTTCTGTATTGCACAAATAACAATATATAGAATAATTATATTATACAAGTATGAAATCTCTATCGAAATCTTTTTTTTCCAATGTTGACGTGTTTAATGCGACGTTGACGTGTTTAATGCGATGTTGACGTAAAGTATGCGAAAATTTTGATTTTCGTTGATGCCAAACGTTACCTCAATAGAAATTATAATAACGAAAAAATGAACAGAAGTGTTACTTTTCAAAATAATTATTAACTTCTACAGTATCAATAACCTACGTTATACTCTCAAAAGAGGTAGTTTGGGATTTTTCGTAGACTCCACAGCTATTATATCAACTGTGTTTCTTCATTCAATCATTTTCAGCTTTCAACAACACGTTTTCTTCATATTACAAACATTTTCTGCCTTTCCAAACATGTTGAAATTTTTTTCAACTTTCCTGTCTGAATCCTTGGTGATACCTCCGGTTGAAGTTTCTTGAACTGAGACTGAAGATCTTCCAAACTATAAATACTTCTTTCCCTAAATATATTTTTACATGTAAATTATTAACGATATAACAAGAGACAAGCACCCGTAGGTTAAAATGAATCTACACTATCCCGTGCCTCTTATAAGAAGCAATTAAGAAGTGGACTTTATCAAATGGGGTTGTGCGACACATACCAAAGAATGAATAGGTCTTATCAGTTATCATCAATAGCAACATTCGTGAAACCAGGCGACCTCTCAAAGAATTCAGCTTGTTGAAGTGAAAAGTGTCAAAAAAGGAGGAATAAGGTGTAAAGGTAACCTATAATAGGGGAGCCCAAGCGGAGATTTCGGCATTTACTAAAGCATGGCAGATTAATATACGGGGGGATACCTTGTACCCGGTTAAGTACCTCCACCAAATATGAGCCCCATATATAAGGCCGCCTGTGAGGGATAATGAACCAGATTAGAAAAAAAAATTGATCATCAGAAATTCTCGAGCGCGTCAGATTAAGGTAGGGTGAGTTAATTACCTGTTAAAAAGTGTATATTCCAGTAATCTGACAATTTGAGAGTGACGTAAAGAAAGGAGAGGGCAGCAAAGTTGTAAAAAAATAACGTCATTTCGACATTCTCGAGCGTAGCAAATTTTTTTATTTTGAAGGAAATAATTTTTAGAAAATCTGACGCGCTCCATTAATTTTTTTTTCTTTACACTTTCAACCCTTACGTACAACCACCCACATCATGCAAACGATCAAAATTAACATACCAACATTATTAAAAATACGTAGGACATTGATGCTATCAATATCTGACGCCCTCGAGTATGTCCATGCAACAGTATTTTTTACATACTTAAAAATCTATAGCCGCTTCCCCCACCGATAAAAAGGTATATATTATACAACATTTTTTCTTCTTATCATCTACGCTTTGCAACCTAATATGTCTCAATGACGCTCGAGTAAATCCCCATTTTGCATCGTGGGCTCCCCTGCTACTAGTGAATAAATGCTTCTGTTTTTAAATAGTTTATCTTGTGAAAAAGAAGGCTGAAAAGTTGCCCTTTTCTGAACTTTGAAGGGCCGTAACTTTGTAAATAAGGGAGAGCGCCGCTTTTTTCTTTTGGATTCGTAATCTACGCATCAAAATACGTAGGTACACTCAAAAATAAGTTATTGGATCAAAATCTCACAGAGTATGGTTTATTTGAAAAGCCGAGGAAAAAATACGGAGAGACTGAATGGACCAGAGAACTAAAAAAAATTTGATAAAAATGAGATGTGTATGAAGTAAGTTAGACATTGTGTACTTTTCAATAAAAATTAATAATTTCCAGATAAACATGAACCCGGGGAAATCTACACGTCAAATTTTTTACGAAATGAATACTTTTCATCTCAAAAAAAGCGATTTGAAATTTTACAAAATACACATATCTCAAAAATTGCATCTAGATGATCCCGAAAGGCGAGTGATTTTCAGTATGACTCAATGATAAAATATTTCATAGAATATCTTGTGGAAAAAAGTAACATAATCTGATTAACAACCAGTTTATTTTGAAATGAGTGTGACTGAAAATGCAAGTGGCAGTACAGAGCTATCACTACATTATAAAACACAATATAAAATTTTGAATACATTATCGGTTTGTTTCATCTCATTGAACATTATATCGGTGGTATTTCTTTCTCCATTCTGGTGAGCTCAATATTTCTGTCAGTAGACGTGGGGGGACCTGCGAATTCGCCAGTCCTCAATCTCATTCTCAAGTCCAAACATCTGATGTCCGTCATTAAGGAATGACTTTTGTCCGCTAACTCCTTATCGATGATAACTTGCTGGTCCTCCAAAGCATTATATGTCGCCTTGGCACAATTTATTTTATCTTGAAGTTCTTGTCTCGTTTGGCGGAGTTGGATTACTTCGTCTTTCAATCCCTTTTCCGATTCGTCACGGGCAAGCTCGAAACCTGGTCTAGATACAGAAAGTTACTTCATCAAAATTACAAGAGAAAAATTAATGAGACCATAAAAATTCAAACTTAGAAAAATCAGCGTTAATAAATTGGGAGTTCTGTTTTGAAGACCATGAATAGAGCAGTAACATTAGGTGCAGTTACTGCAGTTTCGTCCTATATGGACATTTTCAAACTTTTTTATTGTATAAGTTTCAAAATGTCCGTATAGGACGAAACTGCAGTAACGTTAGTTACAAATAAAAGTAATAAAAAACATAGAAAGTTTCATGTTCAAAATCAGTATCTGAATTTGATTCTTTGAATAAAAGTCAATCAAATATTTTTCATAGACACAAGCAAAATATATTTTTAAAAGAAATGAATGAGTATCAATTCTTGATATGGTCTCAATTTTTTTTCTGATTTTTATGTGGTGAATTGAAAAATATTTTAGAATACCATATCACATACTCTTTATTTCAGAGTATCGACTCACCTGTATGATCTATTTTCCAATCTAGTCTCTGCCAATTTCAGCGCATCTGTCGTTGCCATCAAAGCATCCTCTAACGCCCTAATCTCCCTATGCACCTTTTCCATCTCTTCTCGCATCTTGAGTTGTTGCCATTCAGTTTCGTTTCTGGCTTTTTGGGTTTCGTATATACGTTTTCGCAGTGTGAAATCGACCCTATCTCTTTGGGCCAACATGTCATTTTTGGCTCGTTCTCTAACCACAAAGAGAGCTTCTCTGAGTCTGAGCGTATCTGCAAGTTCATTATCCGCTAGTTCTTTAGTACTCTGCGAGTGCTCTAACCAGGCTTCGTAAGGAATTGAGCTAAAATATAAAATTTAATGATGAGTTTTGTCTAGTATGAATATTCTCTAAAGAAGCTTGCCTAGCAAGAGGCAATAAGGCAATGTGATCTAGATTGGCCAATAAAGAGAAGGCGAGGTAAAAGTTTTCAATAGAAATAAAGTTAGTCGCTTCATTCTGTATCATCTATACTAACAAAGTTAACGGAACCTGTTCTATATTCGCTAATTAAGGTTACGTAATTATGGTGACTTACCAATCTCAAGCTAAAAATTATTGGCCTTATTGACTAGGTCATTACGACCATGTATTTCAAGCAACAAATAATTCATTTTGTGATACAGGACTAAGTGTTGAATGCTTCTAAGAATGTATATGTTCATTTATATGTTAATTTTTGTGTTATAGTTTCAACGGGTTTCCATTAAAATAAAAGTGGTATGTCATCTCAACATCGCCCGTAGTGGTAAAGTAGGGATGAAAGGAAATAAATAGTTGATGAAAATGCATATGAGTATGTTTGACAAATGTCATACCTTCACCAAAATACTCCATTAATGTTTAACTTTTTTCGTCGATTTATATGTTCAAATTATTGTTTTTTACTCATTTTCGTGAAAAATACAAAGACCAATAAAAGAGTTCAATTGTCTCGTCGTCTTTCAACATATGCTGCTGCTTTTCAACACTTGTTTATTTCAGCTTATTGCCCAGCCACACAAAGTGTGGCTGAAGATGGGGACTGAAAATTGGTAAATGAAGGCAATCCTAACTTTACTTCCGCCTGCTTCAGAAAAACTGTTGAATACAATTTTTTGTAATTGCAAGAAAGGCTGCAGAAAAGTTGGGTTGTTTTTTTCGCCAGTATGCACCTATTGTCAAGGCCATTCCTGCACTTATACTAAATTGAATACAACTGATGTAAGTTCCTGCAAAACAGATGAGGATGTAACTGATATATATCTTTTCTCAATCAATATCAATCAATACAAATCTAGCATAAAAATAAAGAAGAGAAACATGACAAATAGAGCGAAGAGGAAGAAATAAGTGATGATATAGAGTTTGATGATGAATAATGCGAATGCCGAGCTCACTTCCTCAGGGGTGGTGTGGAAAGGGATATAATTGAAAATACGACTTTCCTATGGTCTGAAATCATCACTCAAGACCGGTGATTCCTAAGAAAAAAGTATAGATACCATTTTTGTAGAGAATTTTACGGTCTACAAACTATCTCTGGATTATTTCTCCGGTAGCTCTCACCTTCCACGAGATATACGCAAAAACAAATATTTTTGAGCTTTAACCTCGATTACAAAAACAACTTACAAGTGGAAACTATGGAAACTTTCGACATTTCATTTATAGTGACGACGTATTTGAGGTCTGTACAAAAATTCAGCTTGTTGAGAATTTTTGCTGTCAGCCCTGTTTTCGTCTATTTTCTCTGACTAATAGAGTGTTGACAGGTTTCGAAAAAGTTGGGTCTGTCGTCTGTAGATGTCTGTAGGAGTTACAAAGTTTTTCAAATTGATAAAAAACACACATAATAACGCGTAGCTTGGTAGGATAATATAGAAGAATTTCGCTTTGATGGATCCAATTTATTGTGTTAATTATTAAGATATTGACTTGTTTTCTGGTTTTACATAAGTTGTCTCTATTACGCATTTTCCTTGAATGAGTATTGCTTGTAATTTTCAACTGGTTTTGCCCCTTTCTTCGAAATATTTTTTTCATTTTAGCATTGTTAAAATCAACATCCTTTCCAAATTATTTGGATAATTAGGAATAATTTTATTTGTTTGAAAATTCTGATTTCTGCTATTAGGATCAGTCAGCTCTTGTGTAGAAATGTGAGGTTTATTAGTACATTCCAATATAAAATAAATATAAATTCTTACCCTTTCACAGTTCGCAGGGGATCAATTTTGAAAGTAATGTTAGCACAATTTTTATCCAACGTCAGTTGATCCTTATCAATTTCGAATGCCTCACTTTTATCGTTGATGTCTAGGTTCAACTGGAACTTGACTTCTTCAAGTTTATTCAACTTTTCCCACGTAGTCTGACATTTTTCAATCAGGAGTTTTTTCACATTCTCGACCAGGCACAATTCCTTAAAAATATTATAATAGCTATTTTTGATGAATAAAATGATTAATAATATTGTCGTGAACTGCACGCATTAAAGTAATCAGGTTAATTGATGGATGTAGCCGTTACTACGTGATAGAAGATCATCATGAAAAATAATAAATGAAACTTTCTAACGTTTTTTTTTTCTAACGTTATTGCAGTTTCATCTTATGAGGATATTTTCAAACTTAAACAATACTTATTTTTTAATAATCAAACCAATACAATACTTGAAGGTATTGTTTCATGGTGAATTTCATTAGTTCGGACTTCCATTCTCCAATATGATATAAAATGATTTGAAATCCCTGAAATAACAAATGAAAATCAAATTTGAAAAGAGTAGCTGAAATTAACAATTATATTAAGGAAAAAACCATGTAATGAATATACATTAAAATAAAAACTTAGCAAAAAAATTCAAAATGAACAAATAAAATGAAATAGAACTAGGCATCATCAATAAAGATCTTTGACAGAATGGTTACTCCAAAGTGATGGTAGAACAGACTTTGGCTAAAAGACAGCAATAGTCTCGCATAGAAGAGAAGCTATTGCTTGCACTTCCCTACATCAGAGGATTGTCGGAAAGGATAAGAAGAATAGGGTCCAAGTACAACATCAGAACCTGCTTCAGTTCCGAAAACACCATCCGTAGCAGCCTTACGAAAACCAGGCCACCAAACGCGAACTGTGATTCACAAGAATCCTACATCGGTGAAACTTAGAGGCTATTAGAAGTCGCATTACCGATCACAAGAAACACACACAGAGAGGAGAAACTAGTAAATCGGAAATAGCTGAGCATGTTTGGACCTATCAACATAACATCAAGTGGTCCCAAGCTAAGATCATTCACAGGGAGGAACACTGGTTTAAGAGAAAATTCAAAGAAGCTGCTACATGTTGCCCAACGACACATTTAGCCAAGCTAGCGTAGAGACACACAACATATGGAAACCTCTAATCAAGCGGAACACGACCAACTCCCGCCAAATGGTCAGCTCCCACTAAACCGGTGAAGCGGAAAGAGGAAAGAAGGAATAGGTAAAAGCACTCGAATGACTTATAAATAGTCATATCTCGGAGAAATGAGTCCATTCATCCCCCGAAAACGATTGTGGATATTAGTAATCGAAACATCGTGAAGTAATTTGGCTTGAAATCTTTTAATTTTTATTTAATTTCAAATGTTAATTTTTTTGCTTGATTTTTATTTTGTTGTAATTTCATTTTAGGATTTTTTGCTATTTTTTTAATTTTAATTTTCATTTGTTATTCCAGGGATTTCAAATCATTTTATATCATATCAGATAATGGAAGTTCGAACTAATGAAATTAATACAATAGTTAATGTATTAGTTTTAAAATGTCCTTATAGGACGAAACTGCAGTAACGTTAGTTACAAATAAATGAGGTGAAAAAACAGAAAGTTTAATTTTTCATGTTGATCAGGTTAGTTAAATACCGGAACAAAAACGGACACCCCTTCAATTTTTGAAGTAATGTGTTATGAGTAAATTCAGAAGTATTTAACAAATATACTTTTTCTTTTTATTTTTTGAATGATGCCGTGGCTTTCTTAGGACATTATGGTAACAAAATTTGAGAACACTTTTATAGATGAAAGGAATTAATTGAGCTACAAAAAATTGAAACAAGTCAACCACGGAGTAAACCTGTTAACGTTGAAAAGTTCGATTTGTTTTTTGGGGTAAGTTTTTACAAATCATTACTTATTCCCAGCTGAGTTAGTTTCTTTGCCGCGTTTTTTATGGTTTCTTTATCAACATATTTCAAGTTAGTCAGTTCATCTGCAGAAACATATTGCTTTGATTCCATTTTGGAAAAAAAATACGAATACTTCACAAAAAAGTATAATTTTAAATTATTTAATCGTAAATTCAATCACATCGATGTTTTGTACCATTGAAGTGCATCAGACTTTCTCAAATCTATCACGATATGTGAGTGAATCAGCGAATAGAATAAAGAATATCATAGGCCCAGTACATCCTATTAATTATCATTCTCAATAATGCACTTTGTATTCTTCAATTTATTCTACAATTTATTTTGAAGCTTGGAAATTCTCTGGATGAATCGGATGTTTGCTCTTGAGTTGGCTTAGAAATAGTTGCTTCAAGGATTGTTGTTCATATCGCATTTCCAGGGTTTTCTCAGTCCTTTGCTGACTACTTTCCAGAATGTAATGCAATATTGCAGGACCTGACTTCATAGTGAACTAGTGCAGTAGCATTCTCCTCTTCTGTCCAGTCAATGGAGTTCCTCGAATTGTCAACGACAATGTTCTTGTGCTTTCTCAGCGATTCGGATTGTATCTCCTCAATCGTCGCAAAACGCCCTCCCTTCATGGAATGTCTCAACTTTTTTTTATTGTGTTTTTTGTGGAATATTTTTGGCATGGGGACACAAGTTGAAACCAGGGACTTGGTAAGCATATTCAAAGCACAATACTCTTCTACAATTTTTCTGCGATTGATATAATTCAGAAAATGATGTTGAAAATTTGAAAAAAAAATAATTTTTACAAGAAAGGAATTTGAAAATAAAAACAATTTCATAGAACTAATTATATTCATTTCCCCGTATAACATACATTTTTTCCGTAAAACGCGTAAAGAAGTTGAAAATGAAAACATAAAATTTTGAAGAAACTCATAGAACCTTTTTTTGTTGAGAAGGAGAACAAAACATCTCATTACAGTTTNGATATTATGATGAGTTTTTAGCGCCATCTATGTGTTATGCCCGAGACTTTTCTGCCCATTTAGTAGAATATATCGCCTAAATAAAGCCTTTCTCCGTGTAGGTAGAACATAAGTAGAAAAGTCACTGATAGCCTTTATTAATAAATATATTCATCGGAAATCTTCATATTCAAAAAAAATAGGACTGCCAAAACACAACTTTAAACAAACAAAACAATTTCAAATAAAACGAAACTAACCTGTTTCCACCTGTCTAGCTCAGTTACTCTGTCGGACAATCGCAAGTTATTATGGTAGGTATCCCAATCTGATCGTATTTTAGTTTCATTTCTCAGCTGCCTAGATTCGTGTCGTAAATTGAATGCATCGTTTCGACGAGTGTCATTGGTCTGCTGGCCTTGCCATTGTTTTGCAAACCAGTCAGCTAAACCAATGTGAGGTATGGGCTTTTCAAAAGTGATAACAGACATGATTACCTAGAAAAGAATTTTTTTGAACTGGAATGAAAATTGGAATATTTCAGGGGAAAAATATGTTTTTTCGACTCAAAAATTGGATAGATTCATTGTTTCATGTTGGAAATATCAATGATGATAAACTTTCGAAAGAAATAATAGTCAAAGTGGTGAAGAACTGTTTTTGAACTGTATTCGCGGGTTTTAATGAATAAAGTTCAATAATAATTTGGAATGATCAAAATCAATATTTTTCACTTTGTTGCTGTTGAAACTTATGGCTTTCACGGGCCAAAATCTCCTTCATTTATTCCTTAAATAAAGTAGCTTGCTTCATTTATTTCACAGAGAATTATGCAAATAGTGTGTTCTTCAATTGATTCTGCTTCGATAGCATCCAATCTGACCAGAACCTCCTTTCTATTCATCAGAGATCTTCAATAAATTTTCTGACTTCGTTCTTATTGATTTGTCTGGGTCAGTTCTACATCAACTCGATCTTCACTGCTTCAACCCATCTTTGAGCTATAGTTTCGAAATATCGGACACATCCTGAACTTTACTTGAGCCGAGTATTTCTCATTCGACTAAATAGATCTTCAAAATTTGTATCATGGTCAACGAATGTTTTTCTAATTACAAGTAAGTTTACCATAGATATTTTTTAAGGATAAAACACAAGCACTATAGGCACCGCTCTAAGAGCGGTGGCCTATAGCGGTGGTTTGCGGCTTTCTCCATGATTTTTGATATCACTGATAGAAAAGCGACTGGTCTATAGTTATTTGGAAGATTTTTCTTGTCCTTTTCGGGCATAGACTGAACGCGAGCAATCTTCCAACCAGAAGGAAAAACCCCTTTCTCGTAAGACAGGTTGAAAAGTCTGCAAAATACTGGTGAGTTCATTTTCGCAATTTTAAGTACGATGACGGGCACTTCATCAGGACTTGACGCTTTGTTGGTATTGAGTTGTTTCAAAATTCGCCTGACTTGACGTTGTCAAAAAGAAATTTCCGGCATTGTGGATTCTAGTGTGGGAATAGTGGGTGGTACCTTTCCCAGAAAATCGACTGTGGAGTGGGTCGCAAATTGTTCAGCTGGTAGATTTGCTTTTTCTATGGCCGTTGTTGCAATTGAAGTATCCGATTGTGTCACTGGTGGTGTTGTGGATTTTGTTAAGTTTTGATTAACAGCTTTAGCTACCGACCAGAAGGATCTAGACCAATGGGATTGGCAAACAGTTTATCCCTAGTTCTCTGATTGTGAAGTTCTTTGCTTTCATTTATCATAAGTTTGCAGCTGTTGCGAGCATTAACAAACCTAGTTCGGTTTTCGACATTGGGATTTTTGCTCCACTATCGATAGGCGAGATTTTTGAGAGCGACAGCTTGCTCGCAATTTTCGTTGAACCAAGGGTTGCCGTTAGAAGTTCGTTTCATTGAAAACTAAATATATGCAAACATGGATGATAGAACAACTTCCGTGACTTTAGAAGCACAAATAGATGGATTTTCAGAGCTGAATCCAACCAGGGTAAATTCACAAATAGTCTTGAAGATCCTCCCACTCAGCAGATCTGTAATGCCAAACTTTGAGCTGCTTGAATTGTTCCCTAACATTTATCGGTAATTCACTCAACACTGAAATGAGTTTGTGATTAGAAGATCCCAATGGAGACCTTGCGGTGACTGTCTAAATTTCTGGATTGGTTATTAGATATAGATCCAGAAGACTAGCATATTCCCCATCACGGACAGGAATCCTAGTTGGCGACTTATTGCAGAAGTCTCAGTTTCGCGACCTTGTTTGTCGTTGATATTGTAGACATTGAAGTAAACAAATATGGAAATTTCGCCACGGGTATAATTGATTTACAGAAAGTCAATGGTGTTTGCAAGTGAAGAGAAAAGTGCCCTATAATGTGGATCGCTTGGTGGTTGATAAACGCAGCATATAAACTTGGTGATCCTCTGTAATATTATAACATCAAAGTTTCGGGGTTCCAGCATTTCCTCTCGTTGACAGGAGCGATACTTTAAAAATACAGTAACTAAAAAAATTTGCCAATGAATAGCTTCGAGAATTGAATTATGTTATCTATAAAAAAATTCGCAAAACTAACACAACCGTCAACGACGTATATGCCCTCACGGGATTGCCCGCCTTCTAGGCGATGGCGTTCCATTGCTTAGACCGCTCCTCTACCCTCGCGTATCATCCCCCGTCGTCTTACAGTAGACGCAACGCGTAATGATTTACTGCACTACGTCAAGTTAATCTTCAAACGATTCGTCTACATTACTTAGTGTAAAAGACAAAATTTATCTATATTAAATACTCGAAACGACAATTGTACCAATTTTCACTTATTAGAATTTGACAGATATTCTAAAATGTGCATTGTAAAAAAGTATCCAATTTAATTGTATTCATAGCACATTTATAATATTAGTACCTATAGATATTATGATGAGTTTTAACAATCAGTACAAGTAAGCGTTCATTATTTTTTATAAGTAGAAGTTTGTTTTTCTCAATATTTTCAATTGTTTTCACTATAATTTCAGTGACCATCTAAAATGTTCTGATAAAGTATCAACGTTTTCGAGTTCACATGCCAGTCTTCTGTTGATAGATCCAACCTCAGCATATCATAATTAATATTTCTTAATTTTCTCCGATATTTTTTTCAACTCCCATCATTTTTGTAAGTGAGTACTATTGAAGAATAATGAACAGTAATATAATATAGCCATATGAAAGATTTAAAATTTGTTTTTTTGTCATTCTCCAGTCGACCAAAAAATAATCTGAACATGAATTATTTGACATCAACTAATGAGTATTTGAAAGTTTCAGTTTCTTAAATGTAAGCGAATTCGTCATTTGCATTATTATCAACCCATATAATTCTAAATTACATCATGAATATTCCAAAATTTGATCAATAATCAGCACTTGCAGAAATTTCAGAACTTATTGTCTTATGACTTAATATTTAGCTCTGTTACGCCAGCGACGCAAAGTACGGCAATCGCATTTAGAAAATGCCAAAATTAGGTACTTTTTAAGTACCGATGTCAAAAATTAGGTGCTGTGTAACTTACACCGCAACCTTATACTCAAAGTAGCGTTGATAGCAGTATGTGAATTGAAGCTTTCAATTTCGCTAAACAACAGATCTAAGAATCAGGTCTCTCGAAAACGAGGACAAATGCTCTATCAGGTATAAACTAAGCGTGGTAATAAAGTGCTAATTAGGTGCTTGTAAGAAATTAAGATGAAAACGACCTCGAATAAGTTAAAAAAAATTCGAGATACCTGATTTAAGAGAAAAAATTAACAATTTGCAATAAAGTCCTGAGATACTCGTAAACTAATACATAGACAATCAGAATAAAGTGCTAATTAAGTGCTCACTAGATAAATAATAGTAAACCTAGATTCAATAATGCCTATGGGGCATAATGGAAAACCACTATGACTGATGGACTGAGTTCTTACAGTACGTTCCTCGATAAGTAAGGGTATGAGAATAAAGTGCTCATTAGATATTATTAATAAGGTGCTCATTAGATATTTATACTAAATCTAGATTCCATAATTCATATAAGGCTTATGGACCCGATAGCCACCATGGACCCGATAACAATCATTAAAAAAAATGTTTAAAATATGATTTTTCCGTTAACCAGCTGTCGCACCCCTACGAACGATAACCCTCAGAAATCGAAACTTGTGCAAGGTAAGAACTAACGAGGTCTTACCTTTTAACGTATGATTCCCAACACGGGTTTGACGATAGCAAGTGAAAATTGAGCGTTCAGCCTGGAGAATGAACTATCGACTCACACATCAGCCAATTGACTGAGTGAACAAAGCATCCACGTCGAACGTTAATTTTTTTTTCTCAAATCAGGTATCTCGAATTTTTTTTCACTTATTCGCGGTCGTTTTCATCTTAATTTTTTGCCAGTACCTAATTAGCACTTTATTACCATGCTTAGTTTATACCTGATAGTGCATTCGTCCTCATTTTCGAGAGACCTGATTATTAGATCTGTTGTTTAGCGAAATTGGAAGCTTTTGTTTATTAATTAGAAAATTTTACGATCCTCACCGATCAGCACTTAATTAGCACTTAATTAGCACCCTTAACATTCATTATTTTATTATTATTTTCATTGCGGTGCTAGCATCACATACTGCTAGCAACGCAAATTTGAGCATTGAGTTGCAGTGTAAGTTACAGAGCACCTAATTTTTGACTTCGGTACCTAAAAAGCACCTTACCTAATTTTGGTATTTTCTAAATGCGATTTCCGTACTTTGCGTTGCTGGCGTAACAGAGCTTTAATATTTGACTTGATATTTGCATCATGGCCTTTGCCCTATATCGATGTTATATAGAAAAATAAAGATTTATAAGATTTAATGCCTTAAAGTGGAACTAGTTTTCCCCTTTGAATTTGATTATGAATATGACAAAATAATAATTCATACTCATACTCAACCTTACTAGAATTTCTCCTGAAATTTGTTTCGAACAAGATGATAAGAAATGAATATAACTTCACTTAAATGAAATGAATAAAAACACTTTTGTCTAAATATCACTGGAAAATTTTATTTTAGGACTGGTTTCGGGTTTAATCCCATTATCAAGTATAAAACTGAAATCTGAATTTGGAACATCGATTTTATAGAATTTTCAGGTATGCTGCAAGGACAGGTATTTGAGAGACAGGATGCCAACTTAAAATATCATCCTGAAAATTCTAGGGGTTGTTAAACTCATAAATTCAAGAGAGGAGACCTACATAAATCAAGTTGCTCGTTTAGATATATGTTTCTGGTTTTTAATTGATTTGTTAATTTCCATGGCCTCCAACAGATTCATTTTTCTCCCTTCATTACATATATGTAGGATTTTGAGATTATCTACATTTATCTTGTGGTTTGATTCTTGAAGATGTTCGTACATTGCAGATTTTTTGTTCAAACAGACGTGTCCACGC